TTCTCTGGTTTCAAGTTTGATCTTATTTTCTTTGTCCAAGCGAACAATAAGATTCTTCAGCACAAAACATTTTTCCACCGGGTGACTAATGATCCTGTGAAATCTACAATATTTAGAATGATCGACCTTACCAACTTCCTCAGGTTTCTTTGGGGCTGGTAGAGGAGAAACTCCAATTAGGTAAAAACTCCGAGCACTTTACCAGTAAAAAATCCACTATAAACGAATTTAACTTACAGTCCATTAGATACGATTACAACTAGTACTTTCTGGTCTCCTGGCTACAATTCATACAGCCCTCTTGGATTACGTGCCCCTGCACCAACTCCCGGCTGCAATTTTCAAAGCCTTCCTAGATTGCGTGTTCCTACAATAACTCCTAACTGTATGAATTCGTCAATCTTCCGTGGATTAACGAAGAATTTCGAGTTCTCCAACAACAACTGGAACTCTAATCACCTTTACTTAATCTTCAAAACTCTGATAGATGTTTAGGAAGTAAGCAGTTTGGTATTTAGATTAAGTGGATTCGATATTTTCACCGTTAAAAAAAAAAATCAAACTACGAAGGTTGAAAGCTATGGATGAATTTGATGAAGTAGATATGAAGCAATATGTGTTCTCTCAATGTTCAACCTTCATGCAAAAACGTTCAGAGGCGTGCTGATATTTATACTGTAAGTTTTGGGTTGAATGGGCCAGATAAAAAATCTTAAAAACACAATTTAAAGCTTTTCGGATGATACGTCGCTCGAGCGACATGTGTCACTCAAGCGAGGACACCTACGAGCGACGATGTTTCTGTTTCTGCCGCTCGAGCGAAGACATGGCAATGAGCTAGTGAAATTGCGACGCCGTTTTTCTCATTTTCTCATACTCGAACCCTAGAATATATACAACTCAATTTATTCAAATTGCAACTTACTCCTTGACTTTTACACCATATTAATTTCAGTCATTTTTGTTCGCAGACTTGCTAACTACAATAAAACATAACAGTATGGACATAGTTCCTAATAGTATGATTAAAAGCAAACGTGAGCTTTAAACGACCCTATCTTATCTAGTGTTATAAAAAAACGTAAAGCGTGATTAGATGTGGAGACAAAGTTTCTAACTTTACGAGTTTAAGCGAGCTTAGAAGTAAAAAAACATTTTCTTATTTTTAATATTATTTTAAAATTTTTATAATTAAAATAATTCATACAAACATCTAAAATTGTAAAATACTATACTTATTTAATAATTCATATAATTAGCCAATTATACAAATTTTCAAGTATTTGAAATGTAAAAATTGAACTATTTTTCATGGTTTCAATTTTTAACAAGACAAATCATATTTAATAGATTTAAAGGAATTTTATACATGATTTCGAAGTTTTCAACAAAATAATGAATCTTAAAATCATAATTACATAATGCAAATAACACCGTACCTTAAATCTTATTTAATTATTTATTGGATAAAGTCATTTTTGACTTTTGTACATATAAAATCTTTTAAAAACTAGAAATTAAAGTTAAATAAAAGGTTTTTTTTTAAATAAAAAATTTAATAAACTAAAGTCAAATTAAATAACTTTTAAAAAAATAAAAAAATTAATAAAGAGCTCGTAGAAAAGATGAAAGAGTGAAAGGAAAAAGTCCAATCGTTTAAGAATTGAAAAAATATGCCTAAGCGCAAAGTGAATCAGTTTTTAAACACTAATCTTATCACACACAATAATATGAACAAGTGGTTTACTACGAACTCTACCCATCCATGCTTGGCTCAGTTCAAACTTGCCGTGACCCAATATTTATAGGGACTAAGGTCTAGGGAAAAATTCATAAATAAGGTGTATTCTTTACACCAATTCAAAATCATGTTTATAGTTTGAAAATTCAAAAATCAGGTTTTTTTTCCTAATATAATATAATATAATAAACCCACCCTACATGCACCACCCCTACCGCTCCGGGGACTATTCCGGCGACCATTCCGACCACCACTCTTCTTTGGCGACCATTCCAACACTGCTCCGATTCCGGCGACTGCTCCGACGACCATTCCGACGACTATTCCGGCGACTATTTCAGTCACAGATTTATAATTTAATTAGTCACATATTATTTTTCAGTCACAAATAATAACTTTTATACGTCACAGATTATTTTATGGTTACAGTTCAAAAATTTTATAGGTCACATTTAATTCGTTGATCACAGATTTCAAAATTAGTTGGTCACAAATCAAAATTTATAGGTCACACGGTCACAGATTTCGGAATTAGTTGGTTACAAATCAAAATTTATAGGTCACACAGTTACAGATTTCCAAATTAATTGGTCACAGATTTTTTTACGATCACAGATAAAAAATGGTTGGTCACAGATTATATTTTTAGTCACATAAAACCAAAATTAAATTAACCAGATCCTTCACCTGCACCACCGTCGACCACACACCACCACCATTGCCACCGCCACAACACCACAACAACAACAAAGACTATTACCACCATACAACCTCCACCTGCACCACACTACCAAAACCCAGTGTTCTAAAATGCGTAATGCGTTGCGATGCGTCGAGGCCGAGAATCAAGAATCACAAGTTTAGGCGTGTCAATGCGAAGAATAAGCGCCATAATGCGTTTCGTATTTTTAAGGCATTAA